TCCTCTAAAAAGCAGATAATGAAAATACATTTAGGCAGGAACTCTGAAGAGAATTCACCATGTATTTCTCCAGGCTTACTCAAATTTTTTAAAAAATCACCAACCAGAGAAAAAAAATCACCACTTCATTTTTGAGTTGTTGATGATATGGAAAAATGTGCAGCAATTTGAAGCAAGATCATAAGCTTGGTGAGTTGACACTAAGATGTCTTCTGCCTCCAGGTATTCAAACCCTGTGTAATCCCCTCTCTCCAAGTGTGGGCTGCGCCCAATGACTTGGTTTTAAGAAGAAGAAGAAGGCAAAAGTGATGGGCTGTCACTTTTGAGATTAGGTTATATAAAAACTTCCATCTTGCTCACCTTTTTTGGCTCTCTCACTGGCCAGCTCAGATGAAGCCAGCTGTCATGTTTTGAGCTGCCCTACGGAGAGGCCCATGTGGCAAGGAACTGACAGTGGACTGCAGCCAACAACCCTCAAGAAACTGAATGCTACCAACAACCACAAGACTATGAGCTTGGAAGTGCACCCTTCCCATTTAAGCCCTGGGATGACTGCAGCCATGACCAACACTGATTGCAGCCCTTGTAAGAGTCCCTGAGCCAGAGGACACAGCTAAACTGTGAGCCACTGTAAGATAACAAATGTTTTAAGCCACTAAGTTATGGGCTAATTTGTTATGCAGCAATATAGATAACTAATACAATGAGACACATTTAAACATATCCTAATGTGATTTACTGAGTAGCTACCATATTCGTGGCATTAAAATCTACTTTCTGAAAAAATGGTTTTGAAGCATTTATTTCTTTGCCCCCCAGCTTTATTAAGATATACTTGATGTGGTTCCTTGCCTTTTTTTCCCCTTGAAGGTAAACAGGGAATCAAAAATATTAATAATTTAAAAGGGAGCATTAGTTTCCTATTGCTGCTGTAACAAATTGCCACAAACTTGGTGGCTTAAAACAAAACTTTATTATATTACAGTTCTGGAGGTCAAAAGTCCAATAATGGGTTTCAAGGGTCTAAAATCAAGGTGTTGGCTGGGCAGTGTTCCTTCTGGAGGCTTTGGGGGAGAATTCGTTTCCTTGCCTTTTCTATCTTGTAGAGGCTGCCCCTATATCTTAGCTGGTGGCCTCCTTCCATTTCAAAACCAGCAATTGCATCACTCTGAACTCTGCTTCCATTGTCACCTCCTCTCTCTCACTCGGACTCCTGTCTTCCTCTTTCATTTATATAGATCCTTATGATTATTTTGGGTCCACCTGGATTACCCAGGCTAGCCTCCCATCTCAAGATCCTTAGTTTAGTCACACATGCAACATCCCCTTTACCATGTAAGGTAACATATTCACAAATTCCAGAGATTAGGGCAGGGATATTTTGGCAGAGCCATTATTCTGCTGACCACAGAAGGGTAGGTTATATATTTTCTAAAGAAATTTTGTTGATTGATATACAGATACTGTAAAGTTAAAAGTTGAGGGATGCAAAAAAAAAAAAAAAAAGGCT